GTTGGAGGTCGTGCCGCATGTCGTTGAACTCAGCTCGTCGAGATCTTTCTATTGACACCGGTGGTGTCAAAAATGGAGGTCGGAATCTTAACTTGAGTATTTGGCCATTGATGGTTTGTGTGAGAGAGAACGTGAGAGGAGAGAGAGAATGAGCGAGAATAAGAGAAAGAAAGTGTAAGAACCCTAAAAATTTCACTATATAAAGTATCTGATTAAGGCAAGATTACGTGCCTGATCTTATCCTCAATTATTTCCTCTAAACAGATTAAATTTATACTGATTAGAGGTAATTAGTTTAGCTTACGTAAGTTAATCTACTACTTACAGTCCAATATCAATTTCTGAATAATTCAATATTGTTTTATATTCTTACTCGCGTAATATTTCAAACTGTTTCAAGTCTTGAAATTAATTTTAGACTGAACAAATTCTAAATTTTAATTTTCTGTATTCTATCCCGAGAATGACGTTTCTGACAGTGTCAACTCCCGAGCTCATATTGTACCCATCTACTATAGGTATTTATCTTGCGACTTTAACCTAACTGTCTGGCAATTAAGGATTTTTTTTCTTCTTTTAAAATGTCAGTGCATTTTTTTATACGCCGCTAACATCGTGCTGTGCTTGGAGATTCTTGAAATTAAGATTCTCAAACTATACTTGTACTGAAAATTATTCCGCCTTAAAATACTGCGAGAATTTATTGATCGAATTTACTTGATCGAAACATGAACTTAACATGAAATTTGCTATAGAATTTAGGAATACATATATTAATTCCATAAATCCTCCATTCACAATATAACATAATATTTTCTAAGAAAATCCTTGGCTTAAAAATACATGAATTGTATTATTTAAGGTCTGGAATTTTCTCAGTCATTACACTCTTCTTCTTCCTTATTTTTTAGAATAAATTATACGTTTTTCTCCAAACTATAAGCCTTGTCACAAAATATTCCTGAACTTTAATTTTAGTTTTTTTCCCGAACTTCAATAATGCTTGTAAATTTTCCTCCTTAACTAAATTTTTGGGAGAAAATGTCATGTGAAATGCAAAATTTGACAAAAAATTTCTTAGGTTAAGTTTTCTTTAACAAAAATAACACTTATCACACAAATATAAGTGACGTTGAATCATTTTTAGTACACAATTATTCTGTTAGTTCATCTTTATTTGATCACACAGAAGTGTAATTAGAGGAGTTGTCATTTTTTTTACTACACTAACTTTCTTTTAATTTATTTGACCTAAAGAACCTTGGAGGTTCATTAACGGTGGCCAACAATAATAACAGAAGAAAGAATTTATCATGGAAAAAAATTTGTAAGAGTCATTAAAGTTCGGAAGAAAAAGAAGTTAAAATTAAAAATTTAAGAGTATTTTGTAAGGGTCTATAATTTTGAGGAAATAAATGTAATTTGTGCTTTTTTTTAACATAATTCCAGTTTGACCCACTCTGTGTCAAAAAGAGTCAGAAGAGACTCGTCGGGTGCGTTTGGAATTGGTTCCAAAATGTTTTTGTTTTATGTATGAAAATAGAAGTGAAAACGTTTTCATTTTCATTTTGAAATTATTTCTGAAATGCGTTTGATAGTTTTATTAAGAGATTGATTTCAGTTTTAAAAAAAACTGAAACTGCGTTTGGTGGTTTAATTTTTGAAAACATGTAATAATATTTAAAATAATAATATATTAAATAAATAATATTATAAATAAATAATATTATTAAATATATTAAATAATAATATATTAAATAAATAATATTATTAAATATATTAAATAATAATATATTAAATAAATAATATTATTAAATATATTAAATAAATACTATTATTAAATATATTAAATAAACATTATTATATAAGACAAAAATGATTTCAGAGAAGAAAGAGAAGAAAATTAAAAAAAAAGAAATTTGTTTTCAAAAAATGAAAATGAGAAAATAAAAATACTTTTTTTTCGTTTTTAATTTTTCATAAAAGACAAAAATAATTTTATTTTTATTTTTAAAAAATTTTTTAGGCCAAAGTCCAAACACATTTTTTGTTTATATTTTCATTTTTTAGTCTTAAAAAACGTAAAAAATGGAAATAAAAACGGAAACAAACGGGCCGTCGTCTCCTCCACCATTTTCCCTCCTCCCAAAATCGGGCTTCAAATAACTTAACGCGCCAGCACGCCCTTTTCCGCTGCAGTTTTCTGTCACTTTCCCGAGAAAGATGACAAGAAAACCTAGGATTCCGGAGGTCCTATGGAGGCTCTTCCAGAATCGCGCTCGCACTCTCTCCGCCACTATCATTTCCCTGCTTTCGCCGTCGCCGGCGGACGCCGCGTCGCTCCTCAGGCCAGACGATTCCTCCGACTATCGCGATCTCCTCAGCCGTTGCTTCGCCGTCGTCTCGGAAAATGCGCCTCCGCTCCCTCTATTTTCGCCTCACGAATTCCAATGGTCACAGCATCAGGTCCAATGTGCCTTCTTTTTTTGGTTTTTTCAGTGCATTTTCACTGTCTTTCTTTGCTCAAAATTGGAGATTTCTGTTCTCAGATAGTGGAGAGAACCATTGAAATGATAATCTCTGAGAAATCCGCGTCTTCGAACGTAATTTGCAGCGGCTACGATAAGGTTAGTGTTTCTTGCTAAATACGCTTTTAGTCGGTAGATAAAGCTCTGGCTTTTAACTTGCCGTTTGATGAAAGATATCGAAAGAAATTTGTAAAACTTATAAATGATATGAGATATTGATAGAATTCATTACTTGTTAGAGGTAAAATAGTTTGAACAAAAGAGTAATTTTAATTTTAACAAAATTTAGTTTTTGATGTTTGGGATAAATTTTTTTTATGATTTATCTTTCTTTATACTACTTTGAAAGCTGCTTTTGGAACCAGGAAGCCAAAAGTTGGGTTTTTAAAGTTCTGCCAAACAGGCCCATATGTTTGTATATTGAAGCTAAATATGTTTGTATATGTTGAAACATGCCCGTATTTTTGTATATGTTTGTATATTCAAGCTAAATGTGATCTTCTTCATCTCATGTTTGACAGTGTAATCAGTCAAGTCCATTGGTGGAGCTTTTATCTGGTCCAGCTTGGTGTCTTCTTCTAGAAAGGGTATGTTATCATTCATGGAAGCAATTTTGTTGTTGTTACTTCATCAAGCATATGGCATCAAGCACACAAACACAAATGTACTGTTGAACTTGAAAGTTTAGCTAATTAGAAAATGGCAAAATTTTTACTTGTTCAAAGCTTATCTGCCGAGATAATGTGACAGGTTGGGGAAGGAATCATGGCTCATTTACTAAAACATGCATCGATTTTTATGCCGCTTGATCATAAGAAATACCATCAGGTGGCTGGTACTCCTATCACTAAACTATGCTTTGCAATGTCTAAGCATATGCCAAAGTCTCAAAGGCCAAGTTATCTTCTCATTCCAAGTGGTAATTGAGAATTCTTGTATTGTTGCGTTCCGGTTTTATGTCAGAAAAATTTCCTTTGCATTCATGCTTGCGAGCTGATTCTCTATCTGAAAATCAAAACTTTAATAACAATATGCTTTATCATTGGAAATGCTTTTTAACTGGCTCTTGAAAACTGCCAAACCTTTGTACATCCATATTGTTAATTGAACTACAAATTTGTCTCAGGACCCAAAAAGAAGAGGGAAAGAGATGATGCTATTGTTCCAGTGTCAAAGAGAAATCACGTTGCTAGTTCCATCAGTTCTGATGGAGTATCCAGTTCTTTTACCTGTTTTAGCAGTCATCACGAGGACAAACAGTGTCAAATGAATTTATCTGTAGCGGCTTTAGAAATAAAAGAGAGTTCAGTGAAAAATACCAAAGACAATTCAAACCAGGAAGTTCAACAGAACTCAAATCAGAGTATACCAAAGCTTAGGAAGCGTTCAAGACCATATAGTTGGCAGCGTCATAGAAAGCGTAGACAGTTAGATTCTCAAGATACGGTTGTCATTACTTCTTCTACAAGTATTCCAATCCAAAAGAACATGTTATCTGAAAAACGTGGTTTGAAAGGCAATGTGAGTCTTGTTTTATCTGTATGTGTTTTTTCTCTTTCTTGAGGACATCTTCTCTTTTCCTTTATAGTTGATTTCTATGGTTAATGAAAGGTGGTTTCTTAAGGGGGAACAAAAAAAAGAAAAGAAAAAAGACAATATAAGTTATTACCATGAAATCATGATTTGTTTGAAAACATTCAAAATTTAATTTTCAACTCAGTCTTGGTTTAACCTGCCGGATCATTATGGATACAGAAATTTTTGTTCATTTTATTTTCATTTCACTATAGTCAGGGTTATAGATATTAAGTTATGTGGAGTTTAACATTAATATGTTGCATAGTCAAACGTTTTGTTAAATACAAGTACAGTTTATTATGATGAAGCTATCCAATTGACTTGTGTGGCTAATCGGTCCATTATTTATTCTCAAGAAGACAAATTCATTCCAACAAGACTAACTCTGTCATTATTTTCTCTGTTGTATATTTTATTCAGGAAGAATTTATGGGTACTCGTTGGTTGAGACAAGTTCCAAGAAAAGTCACCAGAGGGGCTCATATAAGCAGAAAACTCTTGTTCTATAACTTGCAATGTTTTTCATCAGTTTTCCCCAGAAGACGTATCCTTCTGAACTCACTTAAATACAATATCTATGTTCTGTTTTGGATTTGAATTTTCCATTCTTATTCTTATTGTATGTCCGTTTTAATGGCAACAATTTTTTTGACACTTCTGCTAGATTAGTTTGGTGATGATTCTTTAAGGTGTAGTTTCATATGTTTTTCAGTCTGGTTCATCTTTCCTAACAGGAAAGAGGGCTTTTAGAGTTGTCCATACGGGTAAGGTTGTGATGCATCTCATCTTTGTTTGTAAGTTTGTTTCCTTAATGATCTCCAGATATACTGAATTCCTTAAAGCCCAACTCGTCCGATTCAATGTTTCTTCTTGAGAGTATCTTCGGCTTATCTGATGTAGTGGAACACTCTGACACAGTGGCGGGCTTTGAAAATAATGGTTTTTGTCTCTCAGATTCTGCTTCTGTATGTCTGTAAGCAACATATAAGACTTTGCTACTCAATGAGCTTGTAAAGTTTTGTGCTGTAACATAGTTGTTGGGGGTGATTTTTAAAGTTAACTCTTCGTTCTAATGTGATGTGTCTCGACTTTTAATTTGCAATTCAAATTTTATATAACCTAGTTGTTGTCTCCTCCTTTACATCTTCATGATTTCAAATATCTGGAAAAATTGTGCAATCGTGAGTGGGTTTATCTTTTTAAGTTGTTGGGCAAGAATGGGTCAGTAGTTTCTTTCACTTTTCACTTTTCCCTTTTCTCCTTTTCCAGTTTTCCTATATTAATTTTTCCAAGTTGTTTGTCTTTGATATGCAGGTTTCACTCACTGATTAAGAACCTTAAGATTCTCATTCGCAGAACTCGGAGTTGCCAGCATTTGAGATTATTGAATAAGCATTGTACTGTTCTGACACTGGATCGAAATGCTACTGGAAATTCTGAATGCTCCCATAAGGTTAGTTTTATTTTGGAGTTCTAGGGGGCACATTATTCTGTAGGTGTGTACTTAATTTACTGGATCAAGGGCCTGCACGTTGTCCAGTTTTGCATACAGGATGCAGTAACCGTGCAGATGCCAAGATATTTGTAGCACGTGCAAAATATGGCATTTATTGAGTTATTTCTTAGTATCTTACATCTTTTTTTTTTTTTTTTTTTTTTTTTTTTTTTTTTTGCACTAGAGGGAAATAAAGTTTACTTATTTATTGCTGATTTTCAGGGGAGTGAGTTTGAGAACTTTTTTTTTTTTTTTTTTTTTTTTTATTTTTTTTTTTTTTTTTTTTTTTTTTTTTTTTTTTTTTGCACTAGAGGGAAATAAAGTTTACTTATTTATTGCTGATTTTCAGGGGAGTGAGTTTGAGAACCAGCTACTAAAGAAATCTCAGGATTGTTTTAGTAATCAGAGCAAGAGTTCTCTGGAAGCCAATCATTTGGAGGCAATTAAATCATATTGCCCGAAAAGTCAGGTGGTGTCATTCATATGGGCTGTTTGTAGGAGTATAGTCCCTGCAGATTTGCTAGGAACTCAGACTAACTGGAGAATACTGAGAAGAAATATTTCTAAATTTATTCGACTTCGAAGATTTGAACATTTTTCACTAAAACAATGTATGCATAAACTGAAAACATCAGCATTTCCATTTTTGTTGAACAAACATTCTTTATGCTGCTTGAGTGATCAGGTGGTAGAACGTGCGGAGGGGCATAGTTTAGAGACTAGTCAAATCATTGAATTAAATAAAGTCACTCATTCAATGAAACAAAGACTTTTGGAAAGCTGGATTTATTGGTTCTTCTCATGTGTAATTGTGCCATTATTGCAATCTAACTTCTACGTAACAGAAAGTGAACGTGGTAAGCGAGATGTCTTTTACTACAAGAAGTCGGTATGGGAGATGGTGAAAAGGAGAGCCGCTACTTGTTTGAAAAATCAGAACTACGTTTGTTTGGATAATGCAGCAACTAGAGAGATTGTATCATGCAGAACATTTGGTTTTTCAAAGCTAAGACTACTTCCGAAAGAAAATGGAATAAGGTTGCTGGCTAATCTAAAAGCATCATCAAGAACGCTGCAGGAGTCCTATGGGAAAAATGAATTTTCTGGAACGCATAAAAGAACAGATTGGGTTAAAAAGTCAGTTGAATTTAAATATTTCAGGTCTGTGAACTCTGTTCTTCGTGATACACATGCAGTTCTAAAGGGTATGCAGTTAAAAGAGCCTGAGAAATTAGGATCATCGGTGTTTGATTACAATGATGTCTACAGAAGATTGTGCCCATTTCTAATTGGTCTAAAGAGGGGATCATCAACTATGCGTGGTGTATTTATGATTGTTTCTGATGTATCAAAAGCCTTTGATTCAGTTGACCAGAACAAGCTGCTTTCTGTGATAAAAGATGTCATAAGTGAGGAGAGGTATACCCTGAAACAGTCTTGTCAAGTTTTCTGCACAAAGAAATCTTTGTCAGTTCGTGAGGACCTTGCATTATTGGATCAAAATATCAATTCAAGGAATGCATCTTTCATCCCACTCCGTTCACCAGATAGCATTCTTGTTAATCAGGTCAGGTACTTTATGTTGTATATATGCTTAAAACAAAAACGAATTTTCTGTATGATTTTTCCCTGTCAATTCGTTAAATTCTATCAACTTTACAATATAATGCTACATAGTTTCCTATTTTCCGTTCTAACTTTTGGAGGAGATTTAGCATATCTATGGGGAGCATGAGTCAGAGTTGCTAGTACTATTCCGAACTGAAACTTACAAAGAGAGAAGATAACTTGGTGAATAAAATTTTCAAGATCCCAATTGAATCTGTCGCCAAAAAGCGAGAGAGAAAGCCTAGTTTCATTCTTGAGAACTTCTGGAATTTTATTCCTTGCTATTTTTTGAGAGGCAAAAATATTTGAATGAACTCGCTGGAACTTGGATTGCTGCTTGAAAGTTAATCTAGTCTGGGAAAATTCAGTATATCTTTCTCTTTTTTTTTTTTTCCCTGCTTTCAGGAGTGCAGCAGATCTGTGAAGAAGGAAGAGCTCTTATTTAATCTGGATGAGCATGTAAAGCGCAATGTATTGCAATTGGATAAAAAGTTTTATTTGCAACGTGTGGGCATTTCTCAAGGAAGTGTACTTTCTTCTCTGCTTTGCTCATTATACTATGGAGATATGGACAGGAAGGTGATTTTTCCATTTCTTGAAAGAACGAGTCAACGTCCTATACAAGATGTTCTAAAGAAATGTGACTGTGAAAATGCTTCCAGCGCACAATTTAGCGACAATAAAGTTACCTCAAGCATCGATTATATGCTACTTCGATTTATTGATGACTTCCTTTTCATATCTACCTCCAAGCAGCAGGCTAAACACTTCTTTTCTAGGTTGTCGAGAGGATTTCGGGACTATAACTGTTACATGAATGAGGGAAAATTTGGTGTTAATTTTGATATTGGGCGCATATCAGAGCTATCATCAAACAGGCTGTCTGTTGGTGAAGATGGTACCTCTTTTCTTCGATGGAGTGGCTTGCTTATTAACTGTTCCACTTTAGAAGTGCAGGCGGACTACACAAAGTTAATTTCCTTTTATCTAAAGTTTTCGAATAGGATTATAATTGTTTCTATTATCACCTTTAGAAAATTAGTATGAATCTGATTCATCTTTTAGTTCCTATATTACCAATTATGAAGTGTATTAACATATGATATGTTGCTAAATACTTGATTAGATGATTTGATCTATGCGTAACTTCTATTTACAAGAATTTACTTTAATCTGCAGCAAAAGAAGGCTTGTCATTTTACTTATTGACATGAAATCATAGTTAAAATTTTATTGCCTGTAATGGTTCATCAACAATGTCTTAGGAATTGCGACTAAATCTTTGCCATCTTTTCCCCCCCTTTTTGGTTTGCTCTTGCAATTACTCATTTTATCAACTTTATAGGTATTTGAGTGACCATTTATGTTCGAGTCTTACTGTCTGCTGGCAAGGAAAACCTGCTCGTCATTTAGAGGCTAAGTTGTGTGGCTACATGAGACCAAAATGTCATCCCATATTCTACGATTCCAATATCAATTCTGCAGGTGTTGTCAGATTAAATATATTCCAAGCTTTCTTGCTGTGTGCCATGAAGTTCCATTGTTATTTCTGCGACTTATCATACATCTGCAAATTCCAAACAAGATCCTACTTAAGAATTATTGAAAAATCCTTCAGGTATGCTTGTAACTCTTTGTTTTACCTTGTCAGATGTCAGTATGCCATCCATCAAAACTGGCCTGATAATTATGTTTGATCTTTTAGTATTCATGTTGAAACAAGTTAAGCCTCCCATTAGTAGAAAAACTTATTATCTAGAAAGAGTTGGTTTCCTAATTTGGTATGTCATTTGAGTTCGAATAATTGATTCGAAATGCATATAGAGTCAAGTACTCAGTCTTTTCGTCTTATCATTTCTAGTCACTCATCTTGAGCAATTTATGTTTTTGACAAATTGATTCTAGGTATATGCATTTTTTGATAAAGAAAAGGATGTGCTCTGCAAGTCTTGGTTTCGGCCTCCATCCGATTCTACATTTGGAAGACGGTGAGGTTGAGTGGCTTGGACTGAATGCTTACATCCAAGTGCTGAAGAAAAAACAGTCGCGGCATAAAGAGCTGCTGTCTTTATTAACATCTAAATTGTCGGCTCATAATTTATCTGGGACTAGATCAACTCATCTAAACTACGCAATTGATGCTTCACATTCATCTTTAATGTGGAAAATCAAGTATTAGAAGATTCTAAGAGGTATGTGACTTGTTGCATCATAACCTGCATTCACCGATATGATATCTTCTTTCTTACACAAATATTTCACGCCCACTATTATGTTTTATGCAAAACACAAATAGCCACTTCTTTTTCCGATTGTGAAATGTTTGATGAAGTCTACATATTACTTTACACGGCTATTGTTGTGGCTGTAGGCTTTGAAATGTTCAGTTTATCTGTTAGATCTCAATTTTTTCTTGTCTGTATTCTATGACGCTTTTTGTTGAACCATACTTGAATCTATACAAGTTGTATATTGGTGCTATGCAGGTCAAACTTTGGATTTCTTTTTTCTTCATAGTTCAAGAATGCTTGGGGAGACAATCAGGAGGAAAATTTTCGAGCTATCATTTATTCTTTTGAACTTCGTCTTCGAATTTCCGAAGAAAGAATGTTGGAATTCTCCTTTTTTTTTCCTCATTCCGGAGCTTTTGAAATTCTCTGTAAATATACAGCTCGATAATGTCTTTCATAGGTTTCTATATAGGCACTCTTGTACTTGAAACATCATGTTCATGTCTCTTCTGTGATTTCAAGAAGAGACCTGACAAATGTTAAAATGACAAGTTTTGTGCCTTAAAAAGTGAAGTGATAAGCTGGCTTTCCCGAAGACAATTTTCTTTTCATCTCAACTCTCAGGATGTTTAGCTTCAAGAAATCCCTGAAAAAAATCACACTTTAAGACTACTCAAAGTTTTGTTTGTCAATCATATGTCAAAAATATATTTGCTAAGTTTGGACTGCACCAATAAATATTAATCAGAACACTGATGCTCTATCAAAGTGCAAGTCTACCATATTATCTGTTTAACAAGTTTTTGCGTCATTACGAAAAAATCTTCATTATTATGGTGAAACCAAAACCAATTTGCTCCGATATGAGGTATTTCTCAGACCCAGCTATAACGTATAAACCCGGAGTTTACATGGTGCATTAGTAGTCATAAAATGCCGTGTATGGAAGTTTGAAACCACTGTTTACGTACGAGCAAATTCCTTATAATGAAGTTTAAGAGAAAAAAAAAACTTATAATAGGTTATCCAAAAGGTAGAAATCAAATAAACACCCAAGGAAGGCCGAAGGTGCAAGGAACATCTCTCATTTTCCTCGAACCTTTTGGAGAGAGTTGAGAAAATTACAAATTCTACATTTTTAAATGCCCGACTTATTAAAAAACTCTATTCCTTGACTAGTTTTAGTGTAAAAGGTAAAAATATATGGGTTAATGTTAAGAGGTAGAAATAAAAGAGGGTTCCATTTTAAGGGGTATTTTTAAAAATTGTCAAATGGAGTATAGCTTCCACAATAAACATAAAAACTCAGCAAATACAAAAGCCTGATGATCTACCAAAATCATGACAAGAACATTTACCCTCATTAAAATGATGAAATTTGCTACCATGCCTCACTATAATCTTTCTCTGAAACACCTTTGAGATAATCTTAAGTCACCTCATGACAATCCTCACAAACTCTTAAATTCTTCACAACTCAGAATGCAGTCCCCAACCCCAGTTTCCAACAATCCATAAGCGATTGCCAGCCTCTCACTATGTTCTTTTATCACAGTCTCTTTTTCTTCTCCTACTATGTCATGCAAAACAGGTGAAATGTTCGGCGAGTAGTCAGTTTTTGCAACTAGAGTTGTGATTAGTTCGAGCATTTTGTATATTTCCGCAACACATTCATGGTCTCTATCACCCGAGACAAATTTGTGAACTTTCCCCTGAGCTTCTATCAAGCTCCAACCAACAGCTTAATTGGTGTTTCTCACGGACATTAACCTCCGAACTCTTAACAACTTCCCATTTTCTTGCTTTGGCATATACACTGGATAATTGCACATAATGCCCTCCATGGTTTGCATCCAATTCTATCAACTTCTTACCAATCTTTTCACCCAATTCTATATGTCCGTGAATCTTGCAAGCACCAAGCACTGTTGCCCACAAAACGGGGTCTGGTGAAATTTTCATATTTTCAATCAAGTCGACGGCTTCGTCGACAAAGCCAGCACAACTCAAGAGATCAACCATGCATCCATAGTGCTCCATTTCAGGCTCAATCCGATAACTCTCCCTCATTAACTAAAAATAATGCCTTCCCTCTATTATCAACCCTGCTCGGCTGTAGGCACTCAAAACCCCAACAAAAGTCACGCTTGCAGGGGCGAATCCTTTGTCGCCAGCACAACTCAAGAGCGCAGCCGCTTCTTTAGCAAGTCCATGTGCAGCCTCAATCCGATAACTCTCCCTCATTAACTAAAAATAATGCCTTCCCTCTCTTATCAACCCTGCTCGGCTGCAGGCACACAAAACCCCAACAAAAGTCACACTTGCAGGGGCGAATCCTTTGTCCACGAACTTTTCAAAGAGCTTCAGCACTTCTTTAGCAAGCCCATGTGCAGCCAAAAAGCAGATCATAACATTCCATGTCCAAACATCTTTCCAGCGCATACTGTCGAACAACAGCTTAGACTCTTCAATGCACCCACATTTTAAGTACATGTCTATTAGTGACATTCCAAGCGAAGAGGTAATTGGAAAATTAATCGAATACACGAGTGAATGTACTAAGCTGCCACAATCAAGCAAGCCCAGTTGTGCCGAAATTGAGAGAACCGACACCAATATTGCCACATTCAACCTGAGTCCTGCCTTTGTTACAGCCCGAAAGCAGTCCAACACTGCTTCTAGGCAACCATTTTGAACATAACCCGTTACCATCGTACTCCACGAAACAACATCTCTTTCGGGCATTTCATCGAACATCTTCTCCGCAACACCAATCTGCCCATCTCTCACGAAACACGCCAACATAGTATTCCAAGTAACCAAATCCCTGACGTAGGAATTCTCCTCAAACACTCGTCTCGAGCATTCCAGTCCACAACAACCATAGTAAAAGTTAATCAAAGCGTTCCTAATGAAAACATCGCAACCAAAACCAAGTTTCACCACATGGGCATGAATCTGAGCTCCTTCAAACAGAGCCACGGCCTTGCTACAAGCCTGAAAGGCGAAAGTGAAAGTGTGGTTGTTCGGTTTGGCGTCGATCTTTCAGAGAATCGACGAGTAGAGAGCGATGGATTGGCACGGAGAATCGCTCTTGGCGAGGAAGCGGATCATGTTATTGGTGACGAAAACAGAAGGGTGAGTGAAGGATCGGTAAATGGAAAGGGGATAGTGGAGTGGTGGCGCGGATTGAGATAGAACGAGAGAAGCGAGAAGGTGGGACATGAGTTTGCCATGGTGGGTCCGGCCAAGGACGATGATTTGGCCGTCGGATTGTTTGATTTGGTCGAGTGAACAACGCTGTAGAGGAAGAGATAGAAGAGGTGTTGGTTTGGGTTTGGGTTTGTAAGCGAACATAAAGAAGAAGAAGAAGAAGAAGAAGAAGAAGTACAAAAGCATGCACATCAAATAAATAAATCTAGCTAGAAGAGTATGAGCAATTCTTACGATGAAGGAAGTCTTAAATCACCATGCAAACGTCAGGTTTCAAGTCTTTTTATTAGATCACCATAGAAACGGTACTTTTTGTGAGATTTTTTTTAAGTGTTTTTGAGAAGTTTTTCTGGTGGGAACTGTTTGAGAAACGACATCTGCAAGAAGAAAAATTAAAACAATTTGGCATCTTTTTAAAACAATTGGGCAGCTTCAGCGCTTCTTTTTTAAGTGTTTTTGATTGAAATACACATTTCAATCAATTTTACTTACATATATGTATATATACATATATTTACTAAGCACTTCAAAACGTTGTATTTACATAATGAAAAAGCTCAATAAACTGATCAATATACACGTATGTAAGATGCTTCAAACTAATTAAGAGTATGTTAAAGTGAGAAAAAAAATCTAGATATTTAGTATTAGAAGTTGATTTTGTTAGCGATTTTAACCTTTTTGAACTTTTTTAGGTTATGTCCTCTGAGACAAATAGCTCCGCCCCTATTTGAAATGTACTTAATTAAGACAATCTTTAAGGGTATTTTTTATATTTTTGTTATTATTTCCCAAAAGGTTGGTGAGGGATGAAATTGATGTATACTTCTGAAATCTAAGTGATGCCTTTTGTAGTTTGAAAACTAGAGAAAAGAATTAAGAAAAAGTTAAAATTAAGAGGTGTATTTATGTAATACCACTTATAATGAGCCAACTACTAGCAAAAAAAGAAAAGGAAAAAAGAAGAAGAAGAAGAAACTGACGGTACGTGTAGTAATTTACCTAAAAAAAAAAAAAAAAAAAAAAACGAAAGAAAAAAAGAAAAAAAAAAAGCATTGAGACTGATGAATCTTCCCTGTAAAAAGATGGCTTGTATCGACGTTTATTATATCCAATTAAAAAGCAAGCAAATATGGCTTCATTCTTCCTCACAAAACCTCTTATCTCGACCACCACCGTCCCCAAAACTTCCTTTCTCGACAAATCCCAAACTCCCAACAACACTAGTGATGCAAAACGTAAAAGCAAAGCCCTTTCAAGTAGATCATCACTTTTCTCATGCATGGCCTGCTGGGAGGGAAATGATCAACAAAACCCTACCCCAAACTCCGATTACGAAACGGCACTGATCAATATCAACCTTCCCTGGACGCCGGGAAACTTGCCCGCAGAAATGTGTTGCTTATGGCGCGACGGCCGGGATGCGCTCCAAGCAGCCATTCGCCGCCATTGCCAGTCCACTCCCTCAACCGGATATTTCAGACTGTCAGAACGTCGATCCCACAGATAGGGGTGTAAATCGACCGGGTTCAGCCGGAGTTGCTCAAAAAGTTAGGGCGAGCCGACATGTTCGGCTGGTTAAAAGATTAAGCCAAGCTACCCCATTGAGCCTTAAAACCCGCACTAGTTCGGCTCCTTTGAGTTCGGCTCGGCTCGGCTCGGCTCGGTTTGGCATTTTTTAACGTCTTCGCCATGAAAGACGGCAACTTATGAGTTCTTAGGTGAGAAACATCTGTTAGGAACACCGGCAATCAAGAGGAAAGACAATTGAGGCTTTTAGAAAAGGTTAGAAATGAAAAAAAGAAACAAAAGTGATGCTTTATGTGACGGGGAAAAGAATGTGATGGAATTGGAAAGGGTAGCTGACACGTCCAGTGAGAAAGAGAAGAATAAGAGTATGAGATGACCTGATTTATAAATGACTGTTTGACTCATCACAATAACAGCTTGCCCATACTAATTCATTTGAAAATAACAGGCTACAACTAATTAGTAATTGAAAGCAATACTTGGCCTTTGTCGGGGTTCTCGGAGAATAAAAACGTCAAGCCGCAAGCCGAGTCGAAGACCTCGGTTATGCATTTTTTATGAAAATAAAAATCATGCTAAACTCGCCGTTGTCCGGTAATTTTGGGGCGGCTCCGCCGGGTTCTTCGGGTTTGCGGGGTTCTTGTACACCCCTACCCACAGGCACAGTGATTTTGTGCCTCCACCAGTAACCTGCCTCCGCGTAAGGCAGCCGGCACACAGCGTCAGCTACGACTACATTGCCAAATACAACACAGTAACGCAGCTCATGAAAAATCTCCCCCCGGAGTTTCATGCAACAAGCCAACGTCCACTGTGCCTACTGCGATGGCGCGTAAGCCGGCGACCCTAAGAAAATAATCCCTCTTAACGTCCACGAGAGTTGTACGTCGAA